ATTATCCTTCAATATGCGGTTGTGTTTAATAAATTGCTCTCAAGTCTTAAATTGTTTTTACTCTTTAATTTATCAAGTTTTATTGAGTTTCAATTTTTTGTTTCTTTTTTTATTGCAGCCTAAAATGTTAATTTTCACTCGAATCCTTCAATAATTTTTCAAAGCATTCAACAATCTCACACTATTATTATTGTTATATCAATTTCATCGTATTCTTTATTGAAATATGTTTATTTTTTTTTTTTTTTCACCGATTATTTGATTTCACGTTGAAATATTTTTTATTATTTTTTGTCGCCATTTTTTTTTTTTTTTTTTTCTCGACCGCCTTTTGCTATAGAATCGAAATTCGAATTCTATTTTTGAGGAATTTTTGTTTTTTTAATTTTTGTAGATCTATCTTTATCGGTTACTTGTTTTCTAATTTTAAAAACAAAATTCATCCGATTATTATCGAAATTTCCTTGATTTTAGTGTAGCACATATATACATATATATATATATTTACTTTAATAATACTACAAGTGTTTGATTCGTATTATTATCCACAATATTCCGCTGGTACGCTGATTATTTAGTTGACGCTTTAAGGGTTCATTTAAAAAAAAAAAAAAAAAAAAAAAAATTTGTTTTTTTCCATTTGCAAAATCCTTTACAATCCTTTAAAATACTTTTGGCGGCATCAGCTTAATTTTTATCAGTTTGTAAATACGTTACAGTGAAAGAATTTTTTTTCTATTGATTCACAAACACGATTTGTGATTGATTTCGTTTAGAGTTCATAATTTATTTCATCCTCTTGATTTTCGGCATTGTCCTTTGATATCCTCTTAACATATTTAAGTGGAATTTTTTTTTTTTTTTTTTTCACTAAATAAGTTTGAATACATTATCTTTTCGCACGTAAAACTTTCATAAGTTGAATATTGAGTTCACTTATATTTATTGACTTATTCACTCAATTGATCAGATAGGGAGTGCATGTTTTCTTAAAAGAGAAGAACTAAAAAAGGAAAAAAAGGAAGAAAAAAAAAAAACCTATTACTTTTTGAATTTTACTTTTTAGTGTTAGGCTATACAAGCATTTGATTCAATTTTCATAATTATATGAATTTGATTCACTTTCAGTAATTTGTCGTCAAATTTTTTTTATTTAAGGCCGGTAGACGTCTACTTAATAGCCTTTAGAAGAAGTGTTTTTTTTTCTCTTTTAGTGACTAATTATCCATTTTTCTTACACTATTGAACATAAATGTAGAAGTTTGCCACTCTTCTATATTATTTAGTTTTTTTAAGTCAAAATATTAAAAGACTTTATTTAAAATTTGATTATTTGATTATCGTACTTATTGTCTTTGTCGGACAACCTTTTTTTTTTGCATTTTATTTTTAAAATATTATTCTTTAATATCAGTTTTAGAAATTTATTGTGCAATATTGTTTAAAAAAAGAAATATTACTTCTTATGAAAATCTTTTTGAAGATTATATATATTTTTTTTTATTTTTTGCGTATTTATATAAGCACTTGAAAGACTCCTCCTTATTCTTACAATATTTCATATTCATACTTTTAATCTATATATATATATATATATGTATACAATTATGTCCGTATGATGTTTTGTTTGAGATGAAGTGTTGGAAGTATTTCGTTTTCATAAATTTCCGTTTTATATTTCAATTCGTTTTGTATTTAACCTATGATTTTTATTATGAAAATTAGTTTAGAAATTTAGAACTTTTACAACCAAAAATTGTTATTAGTTCATCATATATATATATAAAAAGATAATAATATAATATATATGTATAATATATATATATATAATGTATATAACGTATATATATATATATATATATATTATGTTATTATTTTTTTATTCTGCTTAGCATATATTTACAAGTGAAAATATTTTTCATAATAGGTGGTAATGATTTTTATGCTATTCTTTTTTTTTTAGTTTTTGCTAAGTGATTTTTTTTACAACATAATTAAACTTAATATGTTGAACATTATCCTTTTATGTCCTTGTTGACAACGCAAACTGATCTACCTATGTATATATATATGTATATACATATATGTATATGTATATATATATGTATGTTTGTTTATATTTTCATGGCCCAGCGAAATTGCGACAATAAAATTCTTTTTTCTTTTCTCCTTTAATTATTTCAATTGGTCGTCATAATAACAACAAATATAATTAAAGTTTCACTTTTAATATAATCCTTTTAATATTCTGAATGTCCTTTATGGGCAATGCATTCTGGAAAAAAAAAAAAAAATTATAGCTTTTTAAATTATAATCGCAATTGTCATAAAATCGGTTTGAAAGAATTAAAAAGGTATCATAAACCTATATACATATATGTATAAATGTACATATATATATGTATACATTTATATTTTTGTACATATTATTTTTAAAGTCAAAATTTTACTGTAATTAATTTTAAGATTGTTGGCTTTTTTTTCTGGTTTTTGCATTAAAATTGCTGCATGATGAATATTTAAAAGTTTATTCATTGAAATTGTTGTAACTGTTTCATTTAATTCAATATTACGTTAAATTTTCAATTTAAATAATTCTTTATGTTTTTAATTAAAAATTTGCAAAGAATTTCCTTTGAAAGCAATCGAAAGCTTTCCGGTAAAGAGTTTCATTTATTTATTTTTAATATAATCGAAGTATTTTTTTGCACTTGATTTTGGAAAATACTATCGAAAGTATCTATATATATAAAAAGAAGTTTTTATGGTCTTTTTCTAAAAAGTTTAGTTATTTTTTTTCACATTTTATGTTAAAATGTTTTTCGTTTTACTTTTGAAAAATTTTATTCATTCCTTTTTGAAATTGTTTGTCGTTTCACATAAATGCTTCAATAATGGGGTGATCTATTGTTTATTCATCTTTCATTATTTTTTAAAATGTTATGATCAATATTGTAGAGATATATTTACTCTATTGAAATTGAAAATTTCTTAAATATTCTTGAAGATTGTTTTTTTTTTTATTTATTTTTTTTTTTTATTTATTTATTTTTTTTATTTATCTAGATAATTTTCTTTAGAATTTCGTGTAATCGCGTTTCTTGATGTTGAAGTACATAGTAAAACTAAAATCGTTTTGAAGTTCCTAAAGACTCTTGAAAATATTTCTGAAAAACTTAAGTCGTAAGAGAGCTTAACACCTTATTTTCTTGCTTATTATCATTTTTTTTGTTTTTAATTACACGTTATAGCATAATATATCCGTATTCAGATACACAAATATGATGATTTTAATATCAGTTCTGAAACGATCTAAACAAAAAAAAAAAAAAAAAAAAAAAAAATTGTTTTACGTATTTATGGTATTTCTTCCATGATTTCGTATTTTATATAAAAAAAATCGGGATAACGTTGAAAATGCTTGAAGGTCCTCAATGATTTCCCGATTAAATAATTCTTAATGAACAGCAAAAAAAAAACTATTTAGTTTCTTGAAATGTCTAGACGTTTTAAGTATAAGTAATTTATTTGGTTTTCTTTTTTATAGTCTACAACATTTCTATCGCAAGGATACATTAATGTTGTGCGGATGTATGCAATACCCAGTCGGGCTTGACGTGATAGACTTATATAATATAAGTTTGTCTGTCCGTCTTATATTCCTGTGTTTAATATACAGCTCACATTATGGAAAGTTAATGCAAAATTGTTCGGATTGGATCGCTTTTTCGATCAGTTCCATTATCAGGCGTTATTTTGAAAATTTGTCATATTAATAACTGTCGGCTTATTTAGGTCGCGGTCCACTATATTCCTTCTTATCTTCTTACCATATTTTAACGAAACGCATATTAGAACTGAACAATGTTTTCAAATATTCCTTGAAAATCCTTTTATATAGAATATAAGATTAAATATGTTAAATGTTAAATATGAATGTATTCTGTTTCCCTTTCTCGCTTCATAATTTAGACTGTTAGAAATTGCTTTCAGTTAACGTGCTCGCTTATATTTTATACCAATTTCCTAAATTATCTTTATATCACTCTCTCTCTGTATATATATATGTATATATTCCGCTCATTTACCTGCATATTTCATTCAAATATATTTAATGGAGTCTACTTTTTAAATGCATTCTCGCAATAATAGCTGATTGCAATACCATTATCCTCTCCAAAAAGTAAGATGAGTTTGTTTATTTTGACCTTATTATTATACTGTTGCATAAGCATAAGATATCCTTTCTTAAATAGTTGCTTTCTTCTGTCGATGTCCTAGTTTAAACAAAAAGATATAACTAAAAAACAGCGTACACTTGTCAGTTAGTCTTTATTCCTATTAAAACCACATCTTTTTAGCATTCTCGCATTAATGTACTGTTTTTTTTTTTTATTATTATTAATTAAGTTGATACTATTGTTATTTGTATAAATGTATAGTTAAGCTTAAAAGTTTCATTTCCTACATTATTTTTCTAATTTAATGATCTCCATTATCCTTGAGCGTTTTTATGAGCTTCAGACGCTTACCATAACGCCGAGTGTATGTATGCAGTATGATGAAAGCATTGCTAAGTTTTAATTAAAATATATGTTACTTACGACGACTAGATAGGAAACTTTTAGTTCTTTTATTTTATTTATTTAATTTTTTTTTTTGCATTTTCTCCTATCCTTTGGCTGCATTTAGTTATAATAGGAGTTTTCATTTGTTATAACAAAATATTATTCCGACTTCAAAAGAAAGAAAGAAAACAAAATAAAAATAAAAAAATAAAATGATGTTAACGAACTTCACTTCTTGTTACGTCCTCTCTAATACCAAAATACATAAAACTGCTGATAACGGCATATATACATGAGAATGGTAAGAAAACTTTTTGAAATTTTTGTTTTAAATATTTCCAAATCCTACCAAATGTCCTTAAGTGCGAAATTTAAAAAAAAAAAAAAAAAAAAAAAAAAACTTTGAAAAATTAAAACTGAATTTTTGCTTACTTAGAGATTACATCATATCCATATCCATCCTTTTGATATAAGAGATATATTTCCGAAAATCCTTATAATTTTGGTTTAGGCATTCGATGATTTGATTCACGTAAATACCAAGCATTAAATATTTTATCATAAGCCATCTCAGATAGATTTTAATTGCGTTAAAAATCGTTTTTTACTTTTCATATAACTATAAGATTATCAAGTATATGTACATCGATATACTTAGATATAGTCTCGTCATACATTTTGCATGGAATAATATATTTAATATAAATAATCTTCAGTTTTATGCTCACAATTTATTTATTTTATATTTTATTCTGTTTGTCTTTCTTGTACGACGAAATCTTAAAATTTTAAATTAGATTTAAAATTTTATATTGATATTATGCAGATATATGTTATTTATTTATTTATTTATATTTTTTATTTTTAAACTTAACTTTACGTTTACTATTGTCACGTTGTTTTCACTTATCTACGTTCTGAGTGAATTTATTAATATGCTTAACTCTCTTTTTTCTTTATGTTTTTCAAAAGTAGAAAAAAAAAAAAAATTAGAAAATTTTATAATCTAAACGTATCGTAACATATTCGTGATTGCGTATATGGTTAAGTAAATTGAATTAAATAGGAGTTCATTATTAATTCTCAATAAAATTATTTCTATACTGTTGGTAAAATTGTTTCTTTTTTTTTTTTTTTTGCAAATTTCTTTTTCGCAAATTCGTTTAAGGATTAAAAAAAAAAAAAACAAAAAAAACAAAAAAAAAAAAACTCTTATGACTATCAACTTTTGTTCAAGTCATTCGAAACATCCTTTAAAGCACAACACATTTCTCATTTTTAATTCACTTGCGTGCATTTGCTATTTAGATAATGATTAAATTTATTTATTTATTTTTTTTTTTATCCTATCCTTTAAGATTTTTTCTTTATCTGCTAAAAAAGTATATATTTTCTTCGATATTTATATTTATTTATTTATTTTTTTTTCTCAAAGCCTTAAGTTACGCTTGAATATTTTATTGACTTTCGCTTACTTTTTTTTTTGTTGTTTTTTGCAAAAATTAAACAGCTTTTAATGAAGTTAACGGGAACAGCTTATCAATATACGCTTCTTGGACTTCTATACTATATTCTGTTTTTTTTTTTTTGGTAAGGTCCGTTCATTAAATCCCTCTTTAATATCATAATTCTTTTCATTTTTGATTTTTGCGAATGTTTTGAGATTTTCAGTGTATATCCTTGATAGAAAAATGATAAATAATCACTTACACAATCTTTATTAAAATCATCACATCATCACACATATGCGTACGCGTTAATTTTGCGTTTCGCTTTGTTTTCCGTATTTTGTTTTGTTTTTTTTTTTTTTTTTCTTCTTTTCTTTCTTCTTACTTATTTATTTATTTTTTTCTTTGTTTGTTAACCGCTCAAGTGAAGCATTCAGACGACATTCACTACAAGACTAACTTGCCGCTTTAATACGCACATAAGGGCGCTGTTTTTCCCTAATAGCCAGCAAGTGAGCAAGTCTTTTTCTGTTAAACCAAATTTTCGAAATTTGCTCTCTTCATTTTATTTATACTCTCTCAGGGTTGTTATCTCTTTGGTTCTCATTGTGAATATATGTGCGATTACCAAATGAATTTCTAAAGTGTTAATATGAACTTTTGCAAAAACCTGGATGCGTTTACTTATTGTACTACTGCTTCATATATGAATGATATGTATGCGTAGATGTACACTGTTTGTGGAATGGGGCGAAAAAATAAGGACTTTATTTTATGAAAGAGTTATTCAAAGAGATTTAAGAGTTTTTTACGGCAAGAGATTTTTGATATATTCGCGAATAATGTGGAACTTGGTATTTTTTTTTTTTCTTATTTTCAAATTTACTATCTCTCTGCTCTAAAGTTTAATTGTAAAAAAAATATACAATTTATTCTAAATAATAGAAATATCCGATCCTAATAAAATTTATTTATTTTATTTTAAATCGTCTAAAAGTATGGTTTATATATATGTGTACATATTTATATCGCCGAAAAGTATGCTTATTTTTTTTTAATAAGTGCATAGAATCAGTGGTCTTTGTTAATTGGCCCATTAAGATTATTTTTACCCAAGACATTAGTTAATATTGAGATATAAGATTGTGATGTATTTTCTTTGTTTTTAGCTGCCAGCCTTTAATGTGCTGCTAGGGTGTGATAAGAACTTGTGAAGGTTTTTTTTCGGTTTTTAATAGCCAATGCGTAAATGTTATGTAATATCTGATCATGGTTTTAGAGCTTCATAAATTGTGCTTGAGACGCTTCCATCCGCTACTAAATGAATTCATATTTTAATATATGCTAATGTTGTTAAACTAATCTTCCCTTTTCAATCACGTCGACAAAATAATTTCTTTATATATTTAAAAAATTTTATTTAAATTAAAAAAAAAAAAAAAAAAAAAAAAAAAAAAAAACAAAAAGAAACATAAAGCATGCCGTTCACGTTTTTAAAACGAAACTCATTCACAGCTGAATACATTATTGCTTCACACAGATTGGAGAATATTGACTCGTTAAATGGCAGAGGCTTTCTGTTCGGCAATAAACTTCGCATATTGAAAAACCCTTAATTAAAATCAAGTCTCGGTTAAAAAAAAATATATATGTGAGCTTGGTAAGAATTGCACTGGCGTTTACTTTAAAATCATCTTCTTATTGTGTTGGATTAACAGGTTTGATTAGGATGGATTGGCGCGGATAACAATAGATCAGGATGGTTAGGGATAGGACAGGTTGGGTTAGGTTAGGTCACGTTAAGTTGCACAAAAATGATGGACCACGGATTTATTGGTCCAGAATTGTATATTGATTTTTTCGTGATCAAAAAGCAGTAAGACAAAATTTTTATTGCGAACATGATACGGTACATTATGGATTCCTTCTAGCTGGCGAAACTGTTAGCAGAGAATATTATTTAAATGTTTTACCGCTCCACCCGCCATAGTCACCCGATTTGGCCACCGGCTTAATATAAACAAATCATTTGCAAATCTTAAAATGAGTCTTCAGGGAAAAGATTTGCGTTAAATGATGGCATTATTGTCTACTTTGAGGATTTCGTTTCGATTGCTTAATAAAAGAAGCAAAAGTCAGAGCGGCTTTTATACTCGTTGCATTATTGGGGAGATAGACCCCATTGATGAATAAAGTTGAATTTTAGAAAAGCAAAATTTTTTTGATTACTTTGTCCCAAGATTTGTTGTCCGCCCATTGTAATTGGGTATCTGCCGTGATCGTTGCATTACGTGCAAATAAAGTCCCTTTTTGCATTTATTGTTTAAATTCTTTGCATCAAGTATTCAACTCATATCGATTCGCAACTGCTCACTTACCTCTATGTAGCTCCGTCTGATTCTAGAGCGTTTGGGTAGACTCACTACTTATTGCAAATATTGCCATGAAATCTAATGTAGATGTCGGAATGCTGTCAATCTAAGTGAAAAAAAAAAATCCTTTTTTTCATTCAGATGACAAATTTTGATAGCTTTTGAGCACAATACCTATGTGCGGATCTCCAAAATTTCGTGGTATGTATTTCGCAAAAACTCTCCTTTCTTTTGTATCTATAATATAAAAAACGTATTAACAAAAAAGGATTATTTCTCTTGCATTTTATATTAAAACCGACAGGTCTTATATGCCGCCGCCGCCCTTCGATGCGAAGGTCTAAAATAATGTGATTTAAAGGCGTTCTATCATGACGAACTTATTTACTTGCTTAAGTTTCCTGCAT